TAGAATAGAATAGAATAGAATAGAATAGAATAGAATAGAATAGAATAGAATATAGGAATAAGAATAAAATAGAATAGAATAAAATAAAATACAGGAATAAGAATAGAATAGAATAGAATAGAATATAGTAATAAGAATAGAATAGAATAGAATAGAATATAGGAATAAGAATAGAATAGAAAATAGAATAGAATAGAATAGAATAGAATATAGGAATAAGAATAAAATAGAATAGAATAGAATAAAATACAGGAATAAGAATAGAACAGAATAGAGGAATTGGAAGGGAATGGAAGAGAAGAGAAGAGAAGAGGAGCTGGAAGGGCCCTTGGAGGTCTTCTAGTCCAGCCCACTGCTCAAGCAAGAGAACCTCTTACCATTTCAGACAAATGACTGGCCAGGCTCCTCTTAGAAACCTCCAGTGATGGAGCCCCCACGATTTCTGGAGCCAAGCTGGACTTTTTAAAAAGGACCTCGAACGTCCCTTTCCCACCAACTCACCCCCCCCGCCTAATTCCAGTGGGAGAGCGAAATAAATACTTACAACTGAGCCGGGATCGAAGCCTGAAAGGGGGATCGAAGGACGATGTCACACACCCGCTGATTCTGAACGAAAAGCTGTCCTTCCCAGGCACGGTACGGCACTGAGAAGTTCAAAGAGAGGCAGGTTATTCCTATTTATCGATCTATATCACAGGTAGTCCTCAACTTACGACCCCAATCGAGCCCCCCCAAGTTTCTGTCGCTAAGTCAGACGTTTGTCCCGTGAGTTTTGCCCCATTTTACGCCCGGTTGTTAAGCGAACCAACGGCGGTCGTTAAATTAGTAACCCGGTTGTTCAGCTAATCAAGGCTTTGCCCGCTGGCTTTGCTGGCCAGGTCGCAAAAGGAGACGCCATGACTGTCATAAACATGATTGATGTCTCAATTGATGGTCGCAGAACAGGGCAAAACTCGCTTCACAACAGTCTCGCTTAGCGGCAGAAATGCGGGGCTTGATGGCGGTCGTAATTCGAGGACTCCCCCTACATTTTCCCAGAAACCCGTGGGAGGGGAGATGGGAAGGGGGCCATAGCTCCGCTGTTATTCCCACCCCACCCCTTCCTGGATCCAGCGTCCAATCAACTGGCTGCAAAGCCCGAGGGGCAGAGAACAGAGAGGAATAGAGTTGGGACTTCTTGAGATCTTCTAGCCCCACCCCCCCTGCTCAAGCACAGGAAACCTTATGCTACTTCAAGCAGCAATAGGCAGGGTTGGAAATGAAGCCGTGTGTGTGTGTGTGTGAGAGAGAGAGAGAGAGAGAGAACACAAGGGAGAAAAGGAAAGACAAAACAAACATTAAAAAAAAATATTATTTTTGTTTTTACCTTTCATCTCATGGTCAGCTCTGCAGAGGTGAAAAAGAAAGAAGAAAACAAAAACGAAAAGTTGCTTTCAAACCCGGGGAAAAAGGTGAATTAAAGAAAAAAAGAAAAGAAAAAAAAAGAAAAAGGCTTTTTGACCAAGGAGAGAAAAGTTACTTACAAGCTTTTGGAACCGAGAGGCAACATTCTCTAAGGTCTCCACCCAGCCGGACGAATTTTATGGCGAGGGCTGGTCCGAGGATCATGAAGCGATTCTACTACCTACGGCCTCGAAAAGTTTCTTAGGGGTCAAGGAGGAAATGTTTTAAAAAAAAAAAAAAGGGAAATAAATTAACTTTTTTTTTTTTTAAAAAAAAGGTAAATAAATTAATAAGTTAAATAAAATATTATTTAGCGGTTCCAGCAAGATTATTCGGCCAGAATGTATTTATTGATGAATTAAGATTTATATCCCGTCTTTATTACAAGTAATTCAAGGTAAACAGATCTAATATTTTTTTTCCTCTTTCTTATTTTCTCCACAACAACAACCCTGTGAGGTGGGCTGGGCAGAGAGAGACGGTCTGAAGTCAGCCAGCAAATTTTCATTCCTAGGGCGGGACTAGAACTCATAATCTCCTGGTCACTGGCACAAAGTCACCCAATTGGCTTCCATGCCTAAGGTGGGATTAGAATTCACTGTCTCCTGGTGATTGGCCCAAAGTCACCCAATTGACTTTCATTCCTAAGGCGGGACTAGAACTCACCGTCTCCTGGTGATTGGCCCAAAGTCACTCAAATGGCTTCCATGCCTAAGGCGGGACTAGAACTCACTGTCTCCTG